TCCGTCCGAGGTCTCTTTTAAAGGATGTGCAGTGACCTTGAACTATGTTTCAAGGTCTAAGGTTAAGGGCATAGCAGAATTGAATAATTATGAAAATCTTTGTCCGTAGCACATCTTTTCAGCCCTTGGTCCAGTCTGGTTCATACTTAACCCACAGAGTGTTTGTGGTCAAAGGGTGTACAGTGACCTTGAATAGTATTTTTCATTTGATTAATCGTGTTCAGAACCAAAAATAAATGGCTTTAGGTAAGGGGTAATGAGACTGAAATAAAAGTTTTATGCCAGTTGCACAATTTCTAAGTTATAGGTCAAGGTCGAAGCAAAATTCTCTGAAATGCTTTTCATCCTATTGTCCATTATTTGAGCTAGGCCATTTGACATGGTCACCATCTCAGTGATGTCTAGTTGTATTCATGAATTCAGTGATGTTCTACGTAAAACAGTTTAAGAGCAAAAGGTATAAAGCGCAGGAAATTCATTTAATATTTTAAACAATACAAATTGGAATATGCAATGTGACCAAAATCATGATAACAATGTCCTTTTTAATGTCAAGTAGGTATGTTCTGAATGGGGGAGAATAGATCTAGAGCTTTTATTATTTACAAGTGCATTACCTATGACAACTTCATTAAAAAAGAACAAGTCTTTTTAATTTTTTGCCTTGAATTAAAAGTTTGATCTAGTTATCTAAAAATAATTGCTGACCAAATACATTGCTTAATCCATAGGAAAATACGCTTTTGTACTCTTACCTCAACAGTATTCATAACAATTTTTGGAATTTATTATGATTTTTGACCTTTTGACCATGACGGTTAAAGCAGATTAAAAAAAAATTTCTAGTATTATGTACTATTTACTTTACTAGTAATACGCATTTGCAATCAAATATACAAAGCCTAGCAAAGATACAATTTCTCATTCCTTTATCAAACAATATTAGGAACATAAGAAAAAGTCAAGTAAATGTGTGTAGATACATGTAATTTATAAGCGATCTACATAGTCTGTTATTCGGATAAAGAGTTCTGTTGCTTCTTCTACTGTGTTTGGTGTAATTCAAACCGTTCTCCATTCTTATTTGAATACCAATAACTTCAAATTCCATTGAAACACCATTTGCAGGAGGGTAGGCACAATATTCTTGTTCTATGCCATTCAGATTATAAGGTACAGGCATTTTGTAATCTCTTGTTTGGTAAATTTCGAGCTGAAAATACATAACATCTGGTTTTCCAGACGAACAATCTGCATTGCGGATTCTTCTATTTGTGTTTTCATACCAATGCTGTATAACTCTGTTCAATTCTCTGGTGATAATTGGTAATAAAAAATACCTAGCACACTCCAAGTGAACTATGTAGGATGTGTCAAAAACACATAAATTATCCATATCCTTAAAGTAATTTATCCAAAAATTACCACACATTTCTCGAAAACACCGCCAAAATCGATCTATTCTTGTATTTCTATATGACGGTCCATACCTACAACTTGATAGTCCTTGCAAGGAATCCTGGTGATTCCATTGCAAAGTGTATTGCAAATCTCGAACTATAGAGTTCTCAGTACTCCTGTCTGCGTATACGACCACAGGAACCTCGTTTATTTCTTTGATATATTCTATATAAAATCTGGATACATACTCAGGGTTTTTGTTAGAATTGCAAGCTCTGAGCCAGTGAATACGTCTTGAAAAGCCATCTACACAGCCATGAATGGAAATTCCGAATGGTTTTAACTTAGTTGTCCCAGGCATCTAGATGAACACAAAAATTAGGCCCTTCGTTAATGTACCTTCTACGCTGAACACGACGTTGTTTACGCCTTATTACACCTTCTGCGTCCAAAACAGTTAATGCAAGACGCACCAATTCACAAAACACATTGAGGTTATGGTCGATTAGCAGACGTCTCCTCATTCCCCTAAAGCCAATGTCACCGCCCGAGCCTAAAAGTTCATGTAGAATAGCCGTTACAATGTCCTCCAAACGTGGCTGGTTGTTTCGTCTCGTCAGATTCATTTCCCTTAAAACTCGATGAATTTGTCTAGCATTAAGAGTTAATGTCTAGCATTAATGTTATGTCCAATGATTTCCTGAAAAGTATAACCAGAGTGGTAATAAACAGCAATCATTTCATTCCTACTGAGGGGTAGTCCGTCCACAACCAAACGTTGAGCCAGAGCAGGTGTATAGATATTTTCACCCTTAGTTTTGCTTTCTACATGTTTAAATATACATCAAACTGAATCATTCTATAAAAACACCACGATTTGGCTTGTAAGAGTTTATTTTATTAAAAAATTGCAATTCAGTTAAACTTATGTAAGATACTAAAGTATTAATAGCGATTCTCTGTAACCACTTAAACTTCTTTGCCACGCATGGTCACCGATTTAGATGAAACTTTGCCCATTAGTACAACTCGACACCAGAAACATATATCACATAAAATTTTGTTGCTATGTGTCTTGGTTGCCATGGTAACAGCCAGAAAAGTTGGAAAAATTGAGATTTTCAGCTACTTTGAATCTTTATTAAGCCTTAATAAAGACTACGAAAAGCAAACAAACCATTCTCACAAAAACTTGACACCTTGTTGCCACTTATGCTATAAAGAAACTATTTAGAATTTATCTCTAAGTAAATGGTAACCATGGGTACGTTTGGAATACATTTTAGATGCTGAAAAATGCTGAAAAACGCTCAATATTCACTAATGATAGGTGTTACATGATCAAACTCAATCAACAACCTAAGAAAACAGTAAAAATATTTGACCTTAAGTAATTGGGTATTGGCAATATTATTCGAAAAATAACTTTCATGGTTGCCATGGTAACACAGTGTAACCATACAAAATCTGTTGCTAAGTTTGGATTAATGGTACTATCTTGAGGAAAAACAATAAAATTCGTGATTAGCACATATACATCCTTAGGACCTTGCAATACCAACAACATAAGAAAAATTGGGATTAATTGTTACTTTGCAGTGTAACCATGCAAACAATGTACCAGTTGTTTAAAGTGATATTTTTATGCTGCCTTAGGAATTTACTTACCTTTTAATCAAGAAACATATTATTTGACTCACCTTTAATAGTACTGATCTGGTAGAACTAAAGTTGAATATCACATATTGATAAAGTTTGTTGAAAAATACAACACTGTTGTTATGGTTACCAAGAAGTGAAAATGTTTGATTTTGTTAATTTTATATTAATTTTAAACCCTATGTGCCAGTTTTTTGCATCCAGTTAGAGATTGGGTGATAGTCCAAATTGAAAGTCAAGTTAGTTGTTCATAAATATGAATCATAAAAGTTTTGGGAATCTACATACAAGGGTACGTATCCAAGGAAACAGAATATTTTTCAGATTTTTATGTTTATTTTTTTATCAAATTTCCATAGCAACGCTCTATTTAAAGAATTGAATTTGAATTTTTTGAAATGTGAAAATTAGGGTCACACCAATGCCTTTAAAAATTGATCATCAGATATATAGAAATATGCTTTTTAAAAAGATAGGATAACATTAAAACACTAAGAGAGTAAATTTAAAATCCCTTCGTGGTATTAAAACCATGGCAACCATTGCCAACCTATAAGAAATATCATATTTCGTCCTTGGTATTTGTTACAAGGATCTTTTGTCTATCATTTGCTTGCATTTCAACCTATAATTGTTTTTATTCTTAAGTGTATGACTTTTGAAAATTAAATGAACAAAACTATTACTTTTGAATACTTTGTTTCCATAGTAACGTATGTAATAGTTAATTTACCAAATATGTTTATCATGCATTTAAGACATCAGGCCTTCAACTTTCAGAAACAGTCATTGCCACTTGTTTGCTTTGCTGCAAACATTAACTGTGGGACTCTGAACATGTTTAAAAATGCCATTTTTCAAACTTTAGGACGTGTTGCTATGGTAACCATGACACATAGCAACCAATTTTTGCCTGATTTGAGTTTATGGTATCAAAGACTCTTATTATAGAGAGTTTGGAAAAATTCTGAGACTATGCGTGCCACAGCTCCTATATAAAAGTTCAAGTCATTACAGAGAATGGCTCTTAAAAGCTGATGTTTGATCAAATAATAGCTACATGAAGTAGAAATATTATTTAGGAACTGAACACTCTGACCAAAAGAGAAATTTACACCAAGAATTATTATCAGTTAGGATTATACAAAAGACCAGATTAATCAACCAAAATATCTTCATTACATCCAACACAGTTTTATATCTTATCTAAAACAAAGTTTTTACCTTGTCAGTTGTGTAGAGACCAGATGAACGTTCAGAGGTTAAGCTTCTCATTCACTGCAACCAGATTTTGATTAAACCATACCCTCTTTCAAACAAACAGCATGCCATCATAAATAAGTTCCATGTCGGCATAAATATGTTGCATGTTTACATAAATAAGTTGCATGTCAACATATTTATCTCGCATATCAACATAACTAGGTTGCAATTCGACATGAATAAGTTGTAAGTAAACATGAATAAGTTGCATGTCGACATAAATATGTTGCATGTAAACATATTTATCTCGCATGTCAACATAGCCAAGTTGCATGTCGACATAAATAAGTTGCATATCAACATATTTATCTCGCATGTTAACATAAATAAGTTGCATGTTGACATAAATAAGTAGCATCTAGCATATTGGATGTCACACGTGGGCGATATTTGAGATTTTTGAAGATTTTTTTTATAATTTTTATTTGATTGCAATTTTCTTGCACGTCAACATAGTTATGTTGCATGTTGACATAACTATCTTGCATGTCGACATATTTACCTTGCATGTCGACATATTTGATAGAAAAATTACTTGCACACAAGGGACAGAAATATGCCACCATATTATATAGACCTATATTAATAAACCAAATAGACAGTTGAAAGTGATTCAAGAGTTGTCTATATTTATATCACCCTCACACACTTTCGTACCTTTCAGAACAGTGGATTTGATGGGTCTGCTGAGTTTGTATCGTCAATCATATATCAGTTTTAGCTCACTGGAGCTTAAAGCTCAATTGAGCATTTTGCCCGGCGTCCATCTGTATATATGTAAACTTTTAACATTTTCAACTTCTTCTTAAGAACCAACAGGTCTAATTGTATCCAACTTTCCACAAAGTATCTTTGGGTAAATAGGGTTTACGTTTACGCCTTTTTTAAGAGGAGATAATAAGAAATTTTAAAAAGGTGGTGTCTCTAAGAATAAAAATTCTTCTCAATAACCATTGGGTCAGAATTAAACCTTGAGGGTTGAACAAAAGCATTTGTTTAAAAATTCTTTTGAATAGAGGATTTCATTCTGAGAATAATTAGTGTCCCAAGAGTTTGAAATATCACTTCCTCAATATAAAAATTAATAAATCTGCAAGGGAAAGGGATTTTTTTAAAAAAAAGTATCCACAATCAATGTGTGTGTGTGTGGGGGGGGGGGGGGGGTTACAGAGGTTTGAAAAAAAAATCCTAAAAAAAAATTGTTTCCAATAAATATGTCAAAACATACTTTTGTCAATTCTAGAAATCCTCATAGAAGGACCAAGAGAAGCACGTGAAAGCGACAATGTTGCAATTAAAGGAAAAGTGCGGTTTCATCCTTCACTTAAATACGTTAAATGGCAGAAGCTAAAACGAGGCCTAGAAATTGTTGACATCAACATTCATTCTGAGAGGTACACAGGATCATCAAACGAAATTGGAAATCCAATACTGTGTATAAACTCAGTGGATGCTGAGGATGAATCAGAGTACAGATTAGAAGTCCGGAGAGGGGATAAAACAGTTTACTCAAATACACTTTTTTTGCAGGTGATTAAAAGAGAAGGTTAGTGGAATATATAATTGTTAAATCATACTGACCATCATAAAAAACACACCAACTTCTAAGTTATAATGGTTTTATTTGCAAAATAATGAGAAATGTCGAAGCATTAATAAATAATTTGTTGATTATTTTTAAAAAAATCAAGGATTTCCAAAAAAAAAGTCATTTCGAAGAAAGTGATTGTAATATATTTCAAATAGCACGAACGATCGTGAGTAGTTTGTTTTTGAACAGCACAAGAACACCGTTCCCTTTGAATTTTTACTTTCAGAGTCTTACCTATTTTTTTATCTTAAGGTGCGGTCACACGATGCGATTTTTCATTCGATTTTCCATCCGATTTTTCCATTCGATTTGCTTTCGACTAAAATCGTACCGTGTGACCACCCAAGTCGAAAGTCGAAAGCAAAATCTGAAAGTCGATTGGAAATCGGATGGCGTCAGATTTTCAATCGACTTTCTGGTGAAAATCGTGACGTCACAATGACATTTCCCGCGACGCGAAATGAATAGTCGTTATTTTTGTCATCTATAATGAATGTATAAATTATTAATTGATAAAATATAAGGATACCCAGTAAACGGCAATTATTGGGTACAAATGGCTAATTATATAAAGCATACAAGTCATAAACTATTATTTTATTATCGTAGTTTGCGAGGACGGAGATTCATGTGTTTATAGAATGCCAATTTACGATTAAAGATTTTTTTTTAATATCATAGATTTAGCTTGATTCAAATCATCGCATTTATCTTTAAAAAAGAAGTTTTAGCTATTACTTTTAAAACCAGCACGGATGTTTATAAATCTAACTAAAATTAGATCTTTCATATGCTTATGTTGCTGTAAATTAAGATATGCGGTACACGCCATGTGAGTACTTCAGTATGCTAGGGGTTCACGGCGAGGTACTTTTGACTTGACGCCGCGTAAACACCCTAATCCTATTAATAATATGAACAAGTAGTTTTTAAGTATTTGCACGGATTCTAATTATAGGCGTTCGTCAAGAGATTCAACTTATTTCATGTATATATATGTAAACGTGTAGAATAATTTAAAATGGTAGATTTTAATCTTCTAGAACTCACACATAAAAGTACTAAATGAAGTGGTTAACTAGATTAGGTTTTTAATTTTTACTCCTACAATAAGAGCCTCTGTAAACTCCCCTACTCTCCTTATATACAGAACTACTAAAGAAAAAAAAGACTGAAAAAAAAACTATTTATGTTTATTAGGAGAAATTACGTTGCTGTCTTTTCTCCTTGAATTATCTTCCTTATTTCTTTTCACTTCGACGTGATGTAGCATTGTACATGTACCTCTAACTACTGTATATATGTTTGTATGTTATTAATTTTGTAACTCATGTACCAATACTTTGGTTTGAATGAATAAATTGTACTTGGACTTGGACTCCCCCCCCCCCCCCCCCCAAAAAAAAAAAAAGATTCAACATTGAATTCTTTAAAAATATTAATGTTTAGTTTACATATCATCAGGGAAGTTTTTAAGTCTAATTTATTTATTTCATCATCATTATTTTTTTAGGAAGGTAACATTATTTAATTACCTACCAAAAGTTACTTTTATTAAAATTTTGATTAACTTAATTATTGGAGCGTCTGGTGAATTTGATTTACAGTGTACCCAGTTACGCATTTTAAATATACACATAGTAATCAATGGGCTGTAAATATTTCACTTACAGTAATTTGTGAAAATAAAAAGGCGATATTTCAAATGTTTTCAATAATATTGTTTCGTCAACTGCTGGTCAACGGGAAAAGTTAAACTTTTGCGACGTAGCTATTTTACATTTCTTGTTAGCGAAAGTCTAGTGCAGGTTCTTTTTTTAAATCTTTTTATGCCGAAATGAAAAAAAATACATGTATTTTCCTTCATTAGTCAGTTTAAAAACCCTGGAAAATATCAGATACTTCGGACAAGTTCTTTACATGCGGTATGTTTTCTTCAGACATAACCTGTAGATTACGTCAACATCAACGTCATAATGGGGCAAATGACGTAATATTAAACTGAATGAAGGGAAAAAATATTTTCAAAATGATGTTTTTTAGTTTATTACAATAATCAGAACAACTTCAAACTAAAAAAAACAAGTACCTGTCCATTTCTTGTCAAAATCGAATGTAAAATCGTATCGTGTGACCACCCCACCAATCGACTAACCTGAGCAAGTCGAATGAAAATCGAATGAAAAATCGCATCGTGTGACCGCACCTTAATTTTGTGAATACCAAAGTTATTTCAAGGGAATATAAAATTTTGTAGGAAAACTATATAAGAAAATAAGTAATGCGTTTCTTGTGATGGTGAGTATATAAAAATATACTCAGATTGATATTTACAATCATTATGCTTATTAAAAATCCATAAAGAATAGCATATTTTGCATAAAGCGCGCGTTCAAGTATACATCGTATATATGTAATTGTCAATAAAGAACGATATATATTTCTATAAATTATTTAATTAAAATCAATTTCCATTTTATATAGGTTCAGGAAAACCAAAGATGGAAATAACATGTAACAAAAAGGACGGAAAATACATTTTTGGGGATGATATTTTAATCATGGCAAAAATTACAAACCCATTAAATGTACTTTGTCTTACATGGCAAAAGGAAACTGAAGAGGGAGTAGAGGTTATCAATACAACATTACCAAAGTATGATAAAAGTTCAACTAGGATTCATGACTCTCAACTTCATATAAACAAAGCTACTTCAGAAGATAGCGCTTACTTTTTCCTACTGGCAGCCTTCACATACGGTGAAACAGAAAGTAACAAAGTTCGCATTCATATTAAAGGAGGTATTCAATTTTACAGTTTAGTTTTAAATGATTTAAATCGAGGAGTTTTGTCCTTAAAGTATAATAAAATACACATTTATGTATTGTATTGTACAATATTATCCTTTGAATGTATATTTTTAATTTTTTTTTTTAGTTTTTCAAAGCTTGTTTTATCACCTTAGTCACTCAGATGACCTATTACGATCGTTTTTTTTTTGTCATCGACTTGCTAGTGTGCTGCATGCTTCGTCCGTCGTGCTTTTACATATGAACATTTTCGGTTCTTTTCTGGAACCGCTGAATTAATTACAATCAGTTTTGGCTGAAAAAATTTCATGAATGAAGGGTATCAAAATTGATGAATATTATGGTCTCTGCTCACACCCACCCCCCTCCGCTGGAGATTGGTGGATGGGGCTAAAGCCATCAAAACTTATGCAATATTTTAAAAAATCTTTTTCTTTATTCCTGGACATCAAGCAGTTAAACCTGTTGCCATGGTTTTAATAAGCAATGAACCCTCTACCGAAATTGTGAATTACATTGCCCCATGGTCAGGGGTGTAAGGCCAGGGTTCTATTGATTATTTATTGAAAATACATCCTTTGAAAATCACCTTCAATAGTCCTTGGCATTAAGCAAACAAAGAGAGTACATAGTAATGATTAGCAAACGAGTCTCTTCCAAAATTGTGAATTCATGGCCACTGTACATGGCAGAGGGTTCTGGTGTTAGGATGGAGTTCTACTGTTCCTTTAAAAATCCTCATTGCTGCTGGGTATTTAGAAGAAAAAATAATTGTACTGTTATAATTAGCAAGGATTCCTCTTCCAAAACTGTGAAATTTGCTGCCCCAAGTTTAGTGGAAAGCGGGGGGAGGGGGGGGGGAGATATAGATAAATGCATTATTCCTTTGAAAGTCGTCTTTTCCTGAGCATTAAACAAACAAACTAAGTACAGAGTTATGATGAGCAAGGGTGCATCTTCCAAAATTGTGAAATTCATGGCCCCTGGGTCAGGGCTTTTGGTGTTAGAATGGGGCTGTGTTGAATCTATAGAGATTTTTTGTTTTTGTTTGTTTGTTGTTTACCGACCCTCTTGAGAATGTTTCACTCATATGGAGACGCCACCACTTGCCGGTGGAGATCTGCAAATTTTGACCTAATCTCGGCACTTACGGCCATTGAGCACTGAGGGATCTATTTCGTGCCAGCATCGATCTACTGCGACACGGGACTTCGGTTTATGCGGTCTCATCCGGTCTCTACGTCCCACAGTGGGATTCGAACCCACGACGTAAGGATCAACTCCTTACATCGCGACTCTAGAGGTCGCCCGCGTGGCGCAGTGGTTAGAGCGTCTGCTCTAGAGTCGCGAAGTAAGGAGTTGATCCTTACGTCGCGGGTTCGAATCCCATTGTGGGACGTGGAGACCGGTCCTTCGGATGAGACCGTATAAACCGAGGCCCCGTGTCGCAGTAGGTGCTGGCACGAAAAAGATCCCTCACTGCTCAATGGCCTTAGTACCGAGTATAGGACAAAATTTGCAGCTCTCCACCGGCAAGTGGTGGCGTCTCCATATGAGTGAAAAGTTCTCGAGAGGGACGTTAAACAACATACAAACAAACAAGCGACTCTAGAGCACACACCATAAAAGAATTGAAATTAGGTTTCAGTGTTCATTATTTTTCAACTTTGTCCTCTCCGATTTAAATGCACATCTGCCACCGTTCTGCTCGTGCGCGGATCACGTGATATAGGCGGTCACGTGACATGCTCCGTAGCGTTCTGTTCACAGAAGCTAAAAGATTTTTCCGAATCTTATATTTCTTACTATGCAAGTTATTTTTTATAACAAGAACAGTCCATTTGTCAGGAATGGCCAAATCTCGGCAATAGGATCGGAGGATAAGGATATCCTTTCCCAGAATGAGCATGGTGACTATCACAACCCAAGTCCTCTGTCTTGGAAGCGTTGTTTATCCTTTAAAAATAAAGTAGGGGCGCCTTCTTTTTATTAGGTCACCTGACTCAGGTGACCTATTGCTATCCGTTTTTGTCCGTCGTCGTGCGTCGTCCGTCGTCCGTCGTGCGACGTGCGTCGTGCGTTAACATTTAAACATTTTCAGCTTTTTCTCTGAAACCGCTCAACCAATTTCAGCCAATTTTGGCATATAGCATCTATGGGTAAAGGGGGACAAAAATTGTGAATTTCATGGTCCCTGCCCCCCTGGGGCCTGAGGGGTGGGGCTAAAACCACCAAAATTAATGCAATCTTTAAAAATCTTCTTCTTTACTCCTGGACATCAAGCAGTCAAACTGTTGACATGATTGTAATAAGCATTGAGCCCTCTACCAAAATTGTGAAATTCATGGCCCCAGGGTCAGGGGTTCTGGTGCTAGGGCGGGGCTATATAGATCATATAGTGAAAGTGCATTATTTCTTTGAAAATCTTCTTCTCTACCCCTGGGTATTATTGAACAAAATTGAATACATATTTATGATAAGCAAGAGTGACTTTACCAAAATTGTGAAATTCATGGCCCCAGGGTCAGGGGTTCTGGTGTTAGGGCGGGGCTATATAAATCATATAGTGAAAGTGCATTATTTCTTTGAAAATCTTCTTCTCTACTCCTGGGTATTATTGAAACAAATTGAATACATAGTTATGATAAGCAAGAGTGACTCTACCAAAATTGTGAAATTCATGGCCCCAGGGTCAGGGGTTCTGGTGCTAGGGCGGGGCTATATAAATCATATAGTGAAAGTGCATTATTTCTTTGAAAATCTTCTTCTCTACTCCTGGGTATTATTGAAACAAATTGAATACATAGTTTTGATAAGCAAGAGTGACTCTACCAAAATTGTGAAATTCATGGCCCCAGGGTCAGGGGTTCTGGTGTTAGGGCGGGGCTATATAAATCATATAGTGAAAGTGCATTATTTCTTTGAAAATCTTCTTCTCTACTCCTGGGTATTATTGAAACAAATTGAATACATAGTTATGATAAGCAAGAGTGACTCTACCAAAATTGTGAAATTCATAGCCCCAGGGGCAGGGGTTCTGGTGTTAGGGCGGGGCTATATAAATCATATAGTGAAAGTGCATTATTTCTTTGAAAATCTTCTTCTCTACTCCTGGGTATTATTGAAACAAATTGAATACATAGTTATGATAAGCAAGGGTGACTCTACCAAAATTGTGAAATTCATGGCCCCAGGGTCAAGAGTTCTGGTGCTAGGGCTGGGCTATATAAATCATATAGTGAAAATGCATTAATGCTTTAAAAATCTTCTCTACTCCTGGGTATTATTTAAACAAATTAAATACATAGTTATGATAAGCAAGGATGCCTCTTCCAAAATTGTGGATTTCATGGACCCTGGATCAGGGATTCTGGTGCTAGGGCGGGGCCATATATATCCTATAGTGAAGGTGAATTATTTCTTTAAAAATCTTCTTCTCTGCGCCTGGGTATTATTTAAACAAACTATTAGTACATTGTTATGATACGCAAGTATGCCCCTTCCAAAATTGTGAATTTCATGGCCCCAGGGTCAAGGGTTCTGGTGAAAAGGGGGGGGGGCTCTATTGATTATATAGTGAAAAAGCAAAATTTCTCTGAAAATATTCTTTTCTGCTTCTGGTTAAAAAGCAAAGAAGCTAAGTGTATAGTTATGATGAGCATGATTACTTCTTCCAGAGTAGTGAATTGCATGACCCCTGGGTCAGATGTGCTGGTGTAAGGGTGGGGCTCTTGATAATGTAGTGAAAATGCATTAATTCTGTTAAATAATCCTGTCTGCTCCTTAGTGTTAATCAGATAAACAAAGTGATTACTTACATGTATGATGAATAAACTTCTGGTCCCAGGGTGAGAGACTCTGGTGTTTCTCGGTGGGGATGGGAGGTGGGGGGGGGGCTGGGGGGCTCTATTGATAATGTAGTGAATCTGTAGTAAAAACTGCATTATTTCTTTGAAAATCTTCTCTGCACCTCGGCATATCAGAGGCAAAAAGAGTAAAAGTTTTGATAAATATTTTTGAACATCTGGGCCATTTTGTCAAGTGTTCTGGTCCTGGCCAGGGCTCTATTAATTTGTATTCTACTGAGGGGAGTTATTCCCCTTTGCCATTTACTTTTGATAATTAGTCACTGTAAATAATGTACTTGAAAGGTTAATAGAATAAGAGAATTTTGCAAGATTTTTTATTGTATAATACAAAAAGTACTTTCATAGTTTTAATGATCAGGTAGACTTGTAAGTAATAGATAAATAAAAATGAGACAAAAATAACTTGTCTTATTCAATGTTCATCAAAGACCAAGAGAGTCCAATGTAAGAGATTTCAACAAGGAATTAAAATAGTACAGAAGCATTGATAGTTTGTTAATATACTGTATGGTGATAGTGATAAATGGGGAACAGATTAGAACCTAATTTATGAACTGTTAATGAACACTAGATTAATTATTTTGTTGAACCTGATCACCCTATTTTTCTTGCTTTTGGGCAACAAAGCTTCACTTTTCAGTTCATTTTATACTCTATGGATTCTCTAAATTGTTGTATTATACTCAGGTGACCGTTAAGGCCCTTGGGCCTCTTGTTATATTTGATATGTAAAAAGATTAAATGAAACGAAATTTTAGGGGTTTAATATTTATATTATTGTTGAGATATTCAACTACTTTTCTAACTGTAACTTGGCAATCTTTTATAACAAATTGCTCAACTAAGGACACATCTCTTCCCCAGCTTGCTTTCATTGGGCAACAGAACAAACATTTTTTTGATCATCTCCCATCCTTCACTAAATCAGTCAATCGAATTAATGACTGAACTTCTAGCAAGTCTTTGTCTTCATAAACCTTGTACAAATTATATGCTACTGCAAGGAATTTGCAAGATGCACGTTAAACTTGACAGCCGTTCGTTGCTCAAGTACGACTGATTCAATCATTTTTTGTAACAAGTCACCTACATATTGACGTCATTTTCACATTGTGGTGTCACAAACATGGAGAAAAACATTGCATAACATTTGCTTTTTATGGAACATGTGTATGGCTATATGTGTAACGAATTTCCTTCTGATCTGAAGAGATAGTTCGCGAACTTTTTGATCACCCCTCGTATTTCTTTAAAAATGTGCTCTGCTCCTAGGAAAAAAGAGTAAGAAAGGTAACTTTACCACATTCTGGACAATGTACTTGTGACGTGATTCCGTAAAATATGACGCAGTTTTTACGCAAAAAGTTACGGATCAAGTTATATTTTCCCTATGATACTATTTTCTAAAATTGGTTTGATTTTGTTGTGGTTCCAAAAAAGAAGTTGCAAATGTTTAAATTTTAATGAAGTGACTCAGGTGACCTAGTAAAAAAACATTAACATCTAAGGTCCTCACGTGTAAAGACGAATAATGACTCTATCTAAAAATGACCGAGGTCATGTTTTGACGTTTAGAAAAGACCACCGAGTCGTAGAAAAATGTATTTTTTGTAGAAAAAGAAACCTAGGGATCAGTTTTCTACAAGTGCAATCTATAACAAAATAACCTCCGTTGAAAAACGACCCTATCCAAACGTAGTGATACAAGAGAATTTTAGAAGAGTTTGGTGAAAATATTCAGGTATCAACTTTTGATTCTCATGCGTTTTACATGCCTATGACTTCGAATATTTAGTATTATATAAGAAATCAATATTGTACAGGACGACAATAATGTAATTTTGCTTCGATCAGAGCTTATAAATAGTACTTTCATCGGCAAAATAAGAACAACATACTTTTATAACCGATCTTTTTTCTATCATTGAAATAGTTAATTACAATTTTGCAACAAAAATTTCCGACATCAAAGTTGCAGCTCATATTGCTTTAAGGAGACCAACATATCGTCCCTGCATACATCAGATGAGCATTTTGATCCACGGTTCTTTTTATTATCTTTCATCCTTTTTATCAAAAAGAAAATACAATGTATATCTATTACAAAATCTAGAAGAGGTCATTATTCTACGGGATTTTTTTTCAGGTAGAGTTTACACATTTTAAGGGTGATGAGACTTTTTTTTCTAAAGGCAAAAGGGCCATTTTTCGACGTTGAATAATGACCGGTGGTTATATCTAAACGTTGAAAAATGACCGGGAGTCATTTTTGTACGTCAAAAAATGACCCTTGGTAATCATTCTACATGGGTCATTATTCTTTTTTACACCGGTGCTGTCGCTGTTGAAATTATGACGTTTTACAATGTCACAGCCTTCCCTATACCTCAGTACACTTTTTCGGAGGAGATACCCTGGAGTTCAATAAAGACTGAAAGCCGTATGTTTATGTTTAGAATTTAATGATCAGCTGATTTCAAAGCACAATATTGTAAATGAATCGATACTCAAGAGAAAGATTCCTTCTTGGCTTTGACAGTTTAGTCCGTTTTTTCGGAATTCAATTTCTACTGCACGCGAACAACCTTACTTTCGACGTGACTGACTTCTGATAGCTAAACACCATTTAATGTCTTACATTTTTTAGTATCTCAGTATTTTGTACAACATGTATTTGAAAAAGGTATTCTTGACTTATTTTGTCTCTCTTTCAACCTAACATTAGTTCTTAAGTCTATTTATGCGAGATTTTCCAAAGTGAAACATTATAAATTTCGGAAAAAAGTCCCCTCTCCTCCCCGGTATCATTTTATACACCTGATTTTTTAAACAATCTTTATAGAATTTTGAATAAAATTTTATAGAACTGACAAAATGACGTAAGATTGTAATTTTTACGGAATAATTATGCTACATCAAACAAGTTAATCAACATGAAAATTTGATTAAAAACTCATATCTAAAGGTTCTAGTTCGATAGGCTCAGGGTAGAAATATGCTGCGCTGCGTGGTCATACAATTGCTTACGAAAACAATGAGAATTTATGCAAAGATGAAAGTTTGACTTACAGTTTCTTTTGTACAGATGATATTACATAAACGTGAAAACATTCACTGATGTACCTTAAGCAGTTTAAATTTTATGGCGTCAGTCCACGAACGTTTTGGTAACTGCTCGTATATTCTATTGTAGAAAAACCTAGTGTATCCCTTGAGCAAATACCAAGGGATGCTTCGATTGGTGATACAGTAAAATGTATGGCATCCATCAGGAGTACCCCGATCTTGACTAGTGTTGTCTGGAAGAAAGGGAAAGAAGTAATTGATCCAAAGGATCCAAAATATAAAGAATCCACATATTTTACTGTCAATCCTGTTTTAAAAATCAACAAGATAAACAAAGAGGACGAAGGTGTTTATGAAATAGAAGCTACAAATCCAGTTGGTACAACGTGCACCTCAGTTAAACTGACTGTTAATGGAGGTAGGTTTTTTCTGTTCATGAGTAATGTGCTGAAATGAGTCGCCTCAGGGTACTCCACAGTAAATCAAGATATTAATCTTATCTTATAAAGGACTTGTTTAAGTTTTCAGTATATATCCTGCAAGTAAATTACAGTTTTTCACATACACTACATACATTATGCCTTATTTTAATTATGCATGCTATCCCACCAAGAAAAAACTATTATTTATCAGTGCTCTCCGTATTTTGAAACGTCTCTTGTCAGTCTATAACCTTGCTTATGAAGAATAACACTCGTGATAATTAGTCCCCTACCGGTGAAACCGGAGGGGGACTAAGATTTCCTCTGAGTCTGTCCGTCCGTCTAGCTGTTTGTCTGTCCCTCTGTCTGTCTGTCCCTCTGTCTGTCTGTCAGTCTCTCCCACTTGGTTTTCCTCACTTTTTTCTAAAACCTTGCAGATATTGAGCTGATTTTTGGTATGTGACTTTACCTTGATGGATTATAGATCAAGTTTGCATTTTGTTCCGCTTCATTGATTTTTGACAGAATTATGGCATTTTCAATTTTTAACGGGAACCAGATTACATTTGCCGATAGAGGACTAGTATTGCTAATGCAGTGTGTCCGTCCGTCTGTCCGTCTGTCTGTCCGTCTAGCTGTCTGTCTGTCCCTCTGTCTGTCTGTCAGTCTGTCCCACTTGGTTTTCCGCACTTTTTTCTAAACGCTAGCAGATTTTGAGCTGATTTTTGGTATGTGAGTGTATCTTGATGAGTTACAGATCAAGTTTGCATTTCGTTCTGCTTCAATGATTTTTGACGGAATAATGACCTTTTCAATTTTTCAGGGTTTTTCGCAATTTTTTTCTAAACGCTTGCAGATATTGAGCTGATTTTTGATATGTGACTTTACCTTGATGAGATATAGGTTAAATTTGCATTTTGTTCCGCTTCGTTACTTTTTGACGGAATTATGGTATTTTCAATTTTTAATGGGAACCAGATTACACTTGCCGGTAGGGGACTAGTATTGCTAATGCAATACTCTCAGAATGCTTGTTTATTTTGGCAAATAAAATAATTCAATCCATAGCAGTGCACTACATTCGAACTGTAAATATGTTTTGATTGCATTATTTATACAGTTACAAATATTATAAGTACAATACGCGTGGAATATACTGTTGGATCCAGACTAAACACAATTTTGAAATGACTTTTAACATGCCTTACATCATTGGTGTCTTACTGAGAGACATTTATGCATGGAATTAAATTTTTCATTCAGTTGATTTGAAATCACAGAATGGTAGGCTTTTTATGAGTCTGACTCATCCGATATGGACAGAGGGACGTATAGAGGGATAAACACCGGACTATTATTAGTCCCCTACCGATGAAACCGGAGGAGACTATAGGTTTCCTCTGAGTATGTCCGTCCGTCTGTCTGTCTGTCTGTTAGCGGGAACCAGATTACACTTGCCGGTAGGGGACTAGTATTGCTAATGCAATACTCTCAGAATGCTTGTTAGTATCGACACTGCAATGCCTTTGAAGGTACACTGTATCACAATGATCCTATTTTATGCAATGAAAGACATAACACATAAAAATTACATCTAAAATCGGAGAGACACGTTCTATCTTATCTGGTCTTTCATTCGGATTGTCCAGGCTAACATTGTGTTTAATGCATGTAATGAGAGAACTTAACAGCTAAAAAATGTCAAATGATGATAAAATTCTGCTTGACGGGGTAATATGTAATTTTTTTTTATTTATTTGGCATTTCCCACTTTTTTTTATGATTCAGCACGCAATACATTGTAATCGATAGGGTAACAATATCTGTTGATACACTGACCATCTTTGTAAAACAAGCTAATTTAGAGAATTTGTTCCACCGATTATGAAAAAGAAGAGGGTGGAAGAAAGAAAAAAGTCAAACTTGAACTTTCAGCTTTTGGCCTTAAGGCCACATAAATTTAAAGTTAAGATTTGCATTCTAATTTGCTTAAAAATTGGTGCGAGTTGGGGGATTTTATTTTGTTATTTTCTATTACTGTAAACATCAACATAACGATCTTCTTATACAAAATTTTTGCATTGTAAATGCCAAAATGGTTATATAGTCTTTGATTGCTTGTTCTTTAAAATGTGTACAGAAGATTCTTTTTATATAAAATATTTTTCATACTGTAATAGTGATTTTATGAAAACTTTTATACAGGTAACACATAATTTCTTGTATGTAATTGGGCGCGGATCCAAATACTTTGTGCATATTGGTGCTTTACGTGTTATTTACCACCTCATTGGCCTTTTCCTAAATATATATTTTTCGTTTGACCAACAAATACGTGTGCTTTGTCTAGAAATATTTCAGATTTCCACTGTTCTTATATAACGAGCTACTTTTAGTTCTTGACACGATATTGACAACTTTTTAACAACACATGTTGTCTAATTTAGCCTTTACAAAACAGTTTTTATAGATTTACAATGACAAGTCCGCCGACAAGCTTTTTTATGTCATAAACTGTTCTCTTTATTTTTTCTTCTCAACTTGCTCCTGTGCTAAAAATAGTGCAACGCGATTTTAATACAAACAGGAAGTAACTCTAAAACTTTGACCGTGATCGATGCCAACAAACTTTTGAGAACAAAAAACTTTACCCCCATCCCTCCTTCCCAAAAACTGATGAATGAATTCATTACCTTGACCTTTGACCTTTTGACCTCAAAATCAATAGGCGTCTACTTTAGGTCATGGAGTTTCTAAAGCTTAAAGGGTTCTAGAGATATCATCCGGAATCGAAAGTGTTACACACAAACAGAAATACAGACAGACGAACAAACAGTCACAAATAAAATCCCCACTTTTAGTGAAAGCGGGGGATAAAATATACCAAATAAACAACTTTAAATTTCTTTAATTGTAGCTGCTCCTAAAATCAAATTATCACTTTTGTCCCCATCACCACAAATTGAATATGGCAGTTCTATCACAATCAAAGCTGAGATTGACTCCTTCCCAGAATCATCAATTATAAAATGGTTTAAAGTTAAAGAAAATGAAGTAGAAGAGATCAACACAAAAAAACCAAATTGCCGTCTCAGCAAAACCTCCACGGGGTTTTTGGAGCTTTCCATAAACAATTTGGATTATACAGATACAGGAAAGTATAGGATTTTTGTCGAGAATGCTGTTGGCAGTGCGACAGAAGAAGTTAATATAGACGTTCAAGGTATAAACTATAAAATGAGAGCTATAAAATGAAATATGAGAAAAAGCATGGCTCTTTTTTTAAATCATTTAATTTTAATTCAACATTTTCGTTTTTCATGTGGAAAAATATTACATATTCCGTCATTTTTCTGAAGAGTTGAGCAGATGTACAAAACATGCACAGAGATACACTTTAACAACATACAAATTTTTACAAATTCATTGTAAGTCTTGATTAATTTGACACCGCAATGAAATTTAGTGTTTAAAATGTGATTATCTATTTAATTCTTTTTAAAAAGAATGTTGTTGTTTTCCTTCGAATGTTATCATGATGCATCTGAAAGTATCTTTACTGTAAGAAATAATGGTACCACACCAAATCTTTGAATTAGAAGACCTCTGCTTTACCCTCGGAATGAAAACATTCATTATAATTCATGTTTCCTCATGCTGCACACTCTCATCACAGCTCTGTTTTTGTAGATTTAGTTAAGATCAATTAAATTAACACCAATTGTAGAACGAACTATGTAATTTATTAAAATGACAAAAATAGTGAAAAATATTAATATAGCATATCATAGAGGATCCGACCAAAAGCTATTCACATAATAGATACCAAAATGCTGATACATTAAACATACAGATAAACAAAAAGTTTATATCATTACTAAGCAGGCAAATTTTTCAAGTCCTCTTTCACATGGGTTCTTATTCTTTTTCGCATTTTTTTAAAAAATTGAAACACAGTTTGTTTATTAAATAAGATTAGAATTCCTTTCCTTTTTCGAAACTTTTTTTTCATTTCTTTATTAATATTTCTTAATAATATTTGCTTGTTTGTTTATTTTGGCTTCCTTGATTTTCCTGGTATGTATTTGTATACTGAGAACAATTATATTTGTTTATAAAAAATTATCTGAGAGCGATGCTGTTGAATCATTTTTCAAAAAATACTAACAATACAAATCGGTGAACACAGACCCCTGGAATTTTCACAGGTGGGATCAGGTACCTAGGGGGAGTAAGCATCCGCTGTCGATCAGTTACACCCGCAGTAAGTAAGCATTATTTGTTTCATATTTGGATGTTTTACTAGAGAAATAGATTGAAGACAAACTGGACTTTATGATATGCGTGATGACAAACTTTCTTTTTTTTTTTAATGTGTGGTGAAATTTTCGTCTGGTTTTTTTTTGGCCCTTTTTCACTGGTCGCAAATGAGCGAATTTAAAAAGGGGCGAATTCAAATTAATAACATTATCTCTTCAATATTAATGTATCTGGGTGAATTTATAATGGGACAAAATTGTTTGAAATTGTGTAAAGGTAAAAATATCAAGGGACAGAAAATAATACTATATACAGTATACTACATGTATATACAGTAGTCAGCAAAAAACCATAATTACCTGATATTATCTCTCCTAGTTGAGGCGATGCAAAGAAGATGTGCGTGAGATTAGTTTCTAAACCTAGGTAGACTATTGACAGATGTGTTGATAAGCAGTATCAATATTCTCTTTTACAGTCAACAGTTCAAAATATGTACGGTCGATAGATGATCTTACTTGCAAATACAGCACGTCCTTTGTTCGAATGTTGACTGATTTTTAGTACAAATTGTAAGGCCATTTCTTTAATACTGAAATATTTATTTACCCGATCCAAACAAGCTTAAGGTTTTTACAACGGCGTGACCGGACCAAGTGTGTACTTACTCCTACATGGCACCTGATCCCACTTCTGGCGTTTTCAGTGGTCCTTGTTTGCTCTGCTCTTCATTTGTAGTTTTTAATTGGACTTTTGAGCTTATATACAGTTTATCTTCACCTCTCTTTTGATAAAACTGATTACACAACGGAATGACCCATACGAAGTTTTAAATGCATTTAAGTTATGGAGATTTCTCTTTCTTTTTTAACGTGTATTACTTTGCTTTACATACCTGAAATAAAATCAAAATCTTGAATAGCTAGCCTATCGTTTATGTGAAAAGAAAACATAAGTTATGTATCTCATATTTTCTTTTCTATTTTGCAGGAATTCCAAAGCTTTTTATTTCAGGTCCTACCGTGGTATCTCCGTCAAGTACAGCCGAGTATTGGACACTGTACGACGCCGTTATAAACAAAAATACTGTGTGGCAGAAGATTACTACTACTGAAAGCAATGATAAAAATTGTGGTCCTAAAATGTACTCATCTATTTTAAAATCTTTTTGTGAAGGACCGTTTCAAAAGGTTAATTTATTGCATAAAAAACAAAGTGATGAAGAAGAAAATGGAAACATAAATCAAGATGATGCAGCAACTGACCATGTAAAACCAGATAATACAATAACTGACCAACTCCAATTGTCGGACGGCTCATTGAAGAGTAACAGAATAAATACTATTGTAGATGGTGTGTTCACTTTCACTTTCAGGAGTCATTTAATATTTTTTATTAAAATCATATAATGTTGATCAGTGAAGGGCAAATATTTATTAAAGTAAATAAAAATGTCTTTTAAAATGTTAATGTTAAGTTAATTATTTCATGAAAAAAAATATAAAGATATATTTTCAGTGTGTTTATTCATATATATATATCGACAATTTCTGTCATTTTAGTGTTTGGAAAGTTTGGTACAGAAGCAGAGACTAATTGTCTGCGGTTTTTCCATCTCCAATCCGTCTGTGCTGAAGCTATGAGAAGGGCTTTTGACACATTGCCTCCTAAAAATTTTCAAAAAAAGCTACAAAAGTTTGAAAATCAAATAAAAAGCAAACAAAGTCTTTCAAAAGTTTATGACAGTGAGTTATATTACATGACTAGTTATCTTTAATTTTTCGTTGAACATTTTCTTTAATTCAGTATTTGATAATCAAAATAAAACTTTTCTTTTAAATATGAAGTAGAAAAACCTCCTGCGTCATCCATGGAGCTTGACATTACTTCAATGTACATGATTGCTCGCAACATGGAAAAACAGTCCAGTAAGAAGTGGAAAGAAAATTCCGAAGCGAATGATACTGGAATTGAAAGAGATTTTGATAGAATTCATGCCTATCGAAATCAAATATGTCACTTGCCAGCCTGTGAATTACACACTCCTACATTCAATGAAGCAATATTAAATATGATAACGGTAAGTCCGATGGTCTGCGCCAAATCCCGATGATCTGATACGCTAAAGTCCAATTGTACGGAAAATAAATCAACGTTCATGACGTCATAGTACTACTGTCCTTAAGGTAGGTCGCGGGTTTGCTTTTGTCATCAATTTTGGTACACAATTTCGACGATTCGAGCGGTTGTTTTGTGCACATTTGATTATGACGTCAGTTACGTCACAAAGACGACGTTGCGTTGTTTCCCGTATAATTCTCTGAAAATAACTTCATAAATAGTCTACAGGTACGAATCAAGTAGATTAATTCTACGTGCAAGTTATTGTACGTAAACCTCGTACATGTATGAATCAAGATCGGGTATAATTATTAAATGACAGTCTGAATTCTGATGTGATTATGTGTAATGTCTTAGAAAAACTAAATACGACACCAAATGAAAGGAATAATTTATATTGTAAATGTCACTGGTGTGTTATTAAACTGCTAAAAGTCAATCAAAACGAGTCAGCGTAAAAGTTATGGCGACCGTTTCACTAACAGGTCGTAGATCGTAAACGTAGACGTAAACGTAGACGTAGCACGTAAGTGCGTTTCACTAAGAGTTACGATTGAAGTTGATCGTAAGTCTACGAGTGGTCAGGGGCACTCGTAAATTGACTTGCGAGCACGTAAACAAACAAAAATGGTGTCTGTTTTCCTTCTAGCAGACGATTCTACACGAAACTTTCGACGAGAGAGGATTTTCCGGGATCGGACAAATCCTCTCGATTACCTAAATGACGCAGAAGTAATCGAAAGGTATCGTTTACCTCGAGTCTTCCTATACAGATTGATGGACTTGGTAAACGCTGATGTGCAAAGGACGACAGGACGAAGCCATTCCTTATCCACATCTACCCAGGTATAAACATCTCTGTATGAAAATATTACGAAGTCCGAGTCCGACACTTAGCAATTATTGTACATTTAGAGTTATCTTTCTTTTCTCAACACGATGCGTCAATATATTTGCGTGACGTTAAAGAGTTACCATCTATGTTAGTATGCCAAAGCATCCAAGAAGTAAAAAGGAAAGAAAGAAATGAACAGAAAAGATAAAAAATGTTGTATCGCATTACCATGTTGTGATATATATCGTATCGTTAGGTCGCTTGCGATACTCAGACGCACTGTACAGTGCATACATTGAAATGAAAGCATAAATAAATTTCTGAGTCTATGATTTTAATGATGATTATCTATGTATTAGATAATTTAAAAAAAATATTAACCATCTACCCACATTAAAAAAATGTGGGTCGGAGTACATCAAACTAACAAATATTTAATGATGACCATAGAACAATTCTTGCCAATAGCAAATTTTTCCAACATTCCAGCCTATGCCCGATCATTGGTATGGTTAATGTATCCCAAGAAACGTCATTTGCAGCTGGAAGAATTTGATTTTAGGAAGAACTATTGTTGATATAAAAGACGTTATATATATATATATATATATAAATACTACCAAATAAATTTTTTATTTGGTAAAATAGCTATATCTTACGTGTACCTGTTGGCCTCCTTTTTCTTGGTGTGGCTTTGGATGTCCTGCCATTTTTTTGACATCTTTAACTGCTCTTACACAGGTGGAGCTTGCATTTACCCTGCATTTAATTAATCTTTAGAAAATGAAAACGTTATACAACTCAAGAACATTAACATATTGAATAACATATTCCAACAGACTAGTGATTTACTTCAAGTTTTGATGATTGATTGATTATTTACTGATTGACGTAAGCATGATTTCTTCTTTACTTTAGCCTATCTTTATCTGTTAAAATTATTTTACTGAATTTTCCCTTACTAAGTTGCCGTCTAGCCGTTTTAAGTTCAGTAATTTTCCGGGGAAAAAATATTGAAATATATTGGTTGGGGAACTGAATACAAGTTTTAAAAAACGTAAAAAAAAATGCTTCAACTGCAGATGTTGTCATCTAGGTTCAATCTTATAAAGTACGAGATACCCTTCTGTGATGTCACGCCAGACGCGTTGTTTAGTCTGGATAGTAAGCGATGGGCTAAACTTCCCTCTAATAATAGCCCATCGCTCACAATCTGTAACGAGATCCACCAAGTTTTCTATCGCCGCTTCATTCCAGTTTGCCTTTCTACTCTCTTCCATGTTTACGATCGTCTGCTGTAACCACAGTTACCTCCTTAGTCAGAAGAGTTCCAATAAGTTGATCGTAACTCGTCGGTCGTAAGTGCTACGTTTACGATAGGTTTAGTGAAACGCTCGTTTACGTGCACATCTGGCAATTGTAAACGTAGTCGACGTTTACGATCTACGATTTGTTAGTGAAACGGTCGCATGGTATGCAAAAAGAAAATTATCGTAAATTTCCTAGCCAAAAACTTGAAGGGTTGTATGTGTGCACGTAATTTGCACCTCAAAGGGAAGTGCGTATTACACCATGTTTGCCGGGTTGAAACGTTTTCGGGATGGAATCAATCCTCAACACTAAAAACGGATGAAATTCAATTACAGTACATGTATTTTCCTGTTATTTATTATCATTATTTCAATCATCATAATTATTATTTGTTTATTTAAATTTTTGTATTTTAATCTCGTGTAGTCGTTATGTATAATTTTATCATGCAGGCTAACAAATTGTGAAATGCATTTAAAAAAAAATAAATTGAAACAAACACCCGGACTATCAGACCTATATGACACTGTAAATAATTTACAAGTATCAAGTACATTTTTTTTTCTATATAAGAAAAGCTCTCTGTGTATAAGCTAAATGCAAGTGTTGTACATTTTGCGTATGGAAGTTTGATTGAGAGAATTCGAAATTAAGAAATGTTTGAGAGTTAGGGCTATATATATACCAGCTTGCGGCTAATATAGAAAGAACATAGTCGGTGACACCCCCCCCCCTCCTCCTTTTTCTCAGTATTAGGATGTTTTTTCTTCACCGTTTTCGAATGAAGTGATCAAATTCATGTGTTATGCCTGAAATCTTACTGAACATGCACATCCTAAAAGTACATGAATTAATATTTTATCACTCGCGGTGTTGTCGCTGCATGTTAATTCTAACACACGAGAAATGTTTAATATACCGTTCATTCTGACTTTGTGGGCAGAATATGAATTTCACAATACTAGGGTAAATAAGTTACTGTTCATCTTAACATGTTTCCGCAATAAGTGAAATGATGAATAAAATAACATTTTGAAACTATGTCACCTTTAAGATCTTGCATATTCCAACTGTAAAGATATTTATACTCATATGTAAACGTGATTACGTTCAACACATGACGTTGTAGTCATAAATAACGCCATAAACGCAACATTTTGGCAATATAAAAGCAAACTTTGAAATTATTTAGCAAAAAAACTAGCGAGAAGACATATTGATTTTTTTTATCTCAATAGTTTTAATTTTACCTCATCTTGATATTTTGAAATTCCTGACTAATTCGTCTACGTCTTTAAAAAGTTATCCAACCTTTTTTAAAGAAACTCTTTTCGCAAAATTGGCTTAAAAACGTCATTTTTCTATATATTTCAATAGTAAAGCGTAAAAATAGTACTAAAAATTATACCGTGTTTACCGTAATACAGCATTAAAACTACGTAGACAAATTTGATAAAAATTACAGATAAAATGCTATAAATTCTAAGGAACATTATTTAAAATTTTCAGGATATGTTTTCTCGTAAAAATTTTTAAGCAGTAAACCCGCGACCTATCTTAAATGCGACGCCACACCAAGGTCAGATGTTTAGAAATAAATAAAACTGAATATCAAAAATTGATCGCGGAAGTGAAAATAAGCCAAAATTTAGTTGTACAACTAGCCCTAATTTCTCGAGTGGGGAAAGGCTAACCCTTTCGGATGGTACAAGACTAACCCTAATCGGTCGAAAAGTCTTGCCTGGGAGAGAGACTAATCGTAATCAGTCGAATAGTGTGTAAGCATTAACCCTGAAATCTCTCGGGCGGGTGCGAGACTAACTCTATTTAGTCAAATAGTTGCAAGGACTAACCCTTATCATTCGAGTGGTGTGCTAAGACAAACCCTGAAATCAGACAAATTGTATGTGAGGATTAGTACGACATTGTTGGCTTTTGAATCTTGACAATGGCGATAATGACTGACGTTGGGAAATTGTGACGTCATAAAAGTTGATTGTTTCATAGTTTGTTTCATTTAAGTACCAATCCGCATAAAAATCAGACAAAAGGTGATTCATGGGGGTTCTCAGAATTCGATGATTTTCCACACATAGATTTCTCTTGCACTATGATCCATGAATGTAAAATGAAAAATGTTTTGGATCATGGTTACTATGGAAACCTGGTCAAAGTAATTTCCTTAGCAACCAGCCAATTTTTCCATGTGAAGGGACAAAAAATCACTTATCTTTAAAGCCTGAAATTATATATAAAAACTTTAACAATTATTCTTATTTACTGGTATGATAAAGACACACACATTAGGTGTTTAAACAACACAAGACATTGATATTTTATTCAAAGGTAGTACTGTGGTAGACATTAGAAGATATACATGTTTTTGCATTTTTGCTGACTCAGCATTTTCCTCGATTTTGGCAATATTG